AATTACTGGCAGCGCGAGCCAGTTACTTATAGTAACTTATAGTAACTGGCTCGCTCTGCCAGTAATTACGCCGCGGGATATTCAGGGCACAGACCGTGATCATAAGACATGCCGCGAATAGAAAATAGAATTTAGAAAATAGACATTGCATGTGAACGAAGCCTTATACATGTCGATTGTCACCAGTGGGGCTTTACTTTATTTTTCAAGCAAGACTATGAAAAGCAAGACTAAGAAAACGCAATCCTTTTGTATTGCTGCTATTTCGGGTAAATGATTTAAGGTTAAATTAATTTTGTTTTAGGAAAATGGCAGCAGAAATCGTCCAGCTTAACGACGACACGGAGGATTCCGATGCTGTGATGAAATTCCTTAATAAAAAAGACGGCGTGTCACGCTTTTTAGATGCTATGAAAAGACACTCACAGCGACAAGATGAAAAGATAGAGAGTCTTAAAAGACTCAGTCGTTCAAACGAAGAATATTTAGCAAAAAATGACAGCGAAATTAATGCGCTCAAACAGGAGATCGAACAAGAAACGGATCAAAAAGAAAATTATATGCAACAAGTACAGGAGGAAAAATCAAAATCTGAAGATCTTCGTGAAAAATTAATGGATGCCGAAAGTGATAAATCAACACTTGAGGCAACCACAGAGTCACAGAAGAAAACTATTGAGAACTATGAAACAGAACTAACCGATTGTAAAAGGCAAATCAAGGAAAAGGAAACCGAGCTTCAACAACTAAATAATTCCCATCATATAACAATAAAGAAAAAAGAAGAAGAAAATGCGTCCATGTTGCAAGCTCTAGAGTCTTCAAGGAGAGATGTACAAACCACAACAGACGAGCTGGAAAAAGAGAAGAATGAAAACGCCGAACTGCGCTCAGGCCTTCGGCAGCGTGACTCCGACTTCTCTGCACTGAAGCAAAATTGGGAACGGGAGGTTTGTGAGAAAGAGGTACTCGCTGCGTCTCTCAAAGATGTACAACGCACCCTAAAAGATCTTAAAATGAAAAACGAAGACGACATGCAAAGAAATGGATATGAGATGACGGCATTAAACGAAAAACTAGAGCGGACCACGAATGAAAGAGACGAATCTCTCGATAGGCAGAAGGAACTGAAAGAAACCATGAAAAATCTGGATGAAACACTAACGAAAACCTCGACAGAGAAGGTTGGACTAGAAAATGCCCTTAAAACAGAGATAGAAGATAAAGCACGTCTTCGAGTGTGTCTTGAAGAGGAACGGAAAGACTTTGAGATCAAAATACAACAATCTAGAAACGAAGAGAAAATTCTTTTGCAAAAATGCGAAAAACAAAAGAATGACATCAGCGCTCTTCAAAAGAAATTGGACGATGCAAAAGCTGAAAAAGAGAAACTTTCTAAAGAACTTTGTTTGACGAAAGAAAGTCATTCAATCGCCATGAAAGAAGAGCGGGACGCAACTGCTTCGAAATTACAAGAACTGCAAAAAAAGAGCGAAGAGGAAAAAAGAGACGCCGAAGCAAGAATGCAATGCAAAATCGTCGACCTGGAGTACCGTAATGCTGAGCTCGATGATTCTCTGAGTCGTGAACAGGCAAGGGTTAAGAAGAAAGATGAGACTCTATCTACAGCGGAAAAAGCCGTTCGAGAATGTATAGAGCTGTCCGAGCAAGGCATAAAGGCCCCGAAGTCAGAGAGGAAGGAGGTGCTGAAAAAGATCAAGGACAAAATGGAGTTGTACACAAAACGGGCATATGCAGACCAAGCGGGCAGTAGCAGCAAGCGATTTAGCTTACTGGAACACCCAATCAGAAAAGGTAAGGTATAATTAATTTAAAAGCATTCAACCTTGAATGAATGAAGTAAACGCAAATTACGATATATTAATAAATGAAGAATTAATATAATTCAAAGCTGTTTACATTTATTACAAACGTATCAGGATTACACTCCACGATCACAACAACAGCAGCAACAACGTTAACAACAATACTACTGATACTTCGCACTATAATAATAATAATAATAATAATGTATTATTATCGTGATTCTTTAACTTTGATTTGATCCCAAGCCTTTTCTGTGCTTATTTTTATTACAGTAAAGACACAGCGAGAAATTTACTGTGACAATTTGCGCGCCGGATGGACCGCCATGATTCGAGACCTGGACCTTCTTCTCGATACAGAGTCCAACGAACTCCTAGATTCTCTCTTTCAAAACAGAGTCATAGAATCAGCCGAGTACAACAAGATCCGCAGCCTCACCAAAAGAACGGGGGAACGAAGTCGTGAGTTTCTGCAGCTCCTTATGGGGAAGAAGGCGGATTCTATTACGAAATTCATAGAGCTGCTGAAAGAAGACGAACATGCTCGTCATTTAGCTGATATCGTGGAAGGTCCTTCTGCTTTTAGTTCCGGTAAGCCCTCGACACACACGCACACAAACATATAGAGCGTGCGCACACTCCCGTGTGTCAGCAATATTTGCTTTTTTAATCACTAAGATCGATCTAATATGCAACGATGATAGCAATTACATAAGTATTGTTTTTCCTGTATTTGGAGACAAAGAAATCCATCTTTATTGTTTTATTCAGACAATATACTAGTACATATATTTAATCCTCATTTACCTGATCTGAACTGCCTGCACTACTAATGTTATGCAATGTATTATAAATATGTATATATATGTAAAAAAAAATTAATAATACTTCTAATTATAATTATAAAAACATAATAATATATTGTAAATAACTTATGTTTTCAGGAGCGCCGTCCTCTGAAGATTTAGCATCATCTGGCAGTGACAGTGATGTCAGCACAGAGAAACAGGCTGTCCAAGTTTCTGAACCAATGTCGTAACAAGCAAAATCCGAACTATTTTCTTAAGAGATACAGCTGACGCCACTTTTGACCAAAAATAACAACTGTTTCATATTTTAATACTGTAATATGTTAAAACTGTAATATATTTATTACGGAAATCGACTTTCAGACACATAATTTGCCCTTTTTGTAAATAATCGTTTTACTTATCACAATGATTTTTTACTCAGTATACTCAGATAAGGGATAGGTGTGTGGTAGAAGTCGAAGGCCACGGAGGGGGGGGGGAGTTACAGATACACGCGCGATTCGTTTTGTTTCTTTACATTTTATCGTTTCAATTCCTTTGATTCAGTATCTTATTATTATTTTATATTTATTCCTTTGCTATAATTATATATTTTGCATGCTGGCTTGTAAAGTGACTGAGAAAAAAGAAAGAAATTTATGTGTTAACTCTGCACACCCCTGTCAGTGGTTTAACTGTGACACTGTTAATGCGAAGTTTTAAACAAGCAAGTATAGTCAATGTTATTTCATGCAATTGCATGCATTTTACACCGGATAGCATTTGTCGACTTTTGTAAATAAACAAGTAATTAAAGGAAAATAACTTAAATCAGACATTTTCTTTGGTTCATTTGTCATTTTATTCAACAGATTTCTAATAACACAAATTCATTTTATCTTCAGTTTTGTTCTATTAAATCTTAAAGAGAAAATGTTTATTTTTTAAACATATAAACCCATTATGATTTTTAATATTTGAGAATTTATATATCATTTATTTTATAACCAGATCCCAGTTATCTGCACAATTTAAGCGGCACTAAATACATTAGACCACTTCCAATATTCACAACATAAATGTAAATCTTCTTTATTTATCTATGTATTTATTCATTCATTAATTTATCTATTTAATCAGTATTATTTATTTCAAAGCCTAAACTGGACAAATGGTTAATTTTCAGCACAAAAAACATGTACGCAATGCTTGTTGCATTATGTGCAAGTAATTCCTAGTAATAACGAGGTTCAGCAAACACGCGTCTCAGGCAATCATCTGTGAACACCCCCACGGGGTCGAGGGTATTTCTGATTATTTTGAAGATGGTCAGGTCGATGCCGTAGCCTCTTTTGATCCTCTGCTTCAGGTTTGGAAAATGTTGGAACCCTTTTCCCCAATGCGGCAGTCCATTCAGACCACTTTGATCCCATGCTGTCACCATCTGAAATCACAACGACACATCTTAACAATTATTAAATCATACTTAGTTGTAGTGTTACGGCAAACCATATCTCATTTAGAATACAAGGCACTGAGTAGTTGTTTTAAGTCGATGGGTATGTTTATTATTACTTAGATTATTTATAATTTCTTGTGGAGGTTAAATTAATTTAAGTGGACTTATTGAGAGGAAGGTGTTAAAAACTCTGTGGGAGATAATAAGTATCTTCACAATAAATGACTTCATCGTCAAAAACAGAGTCAACGCTTTTGGTTGTGAGAAATTAAACGGTAAAAAATAGCATAATTTTGAGCACCGCTGTGTGAAATGCATCAGTTCGATTTTCATCATCCGGAGAGCCTACTCGTCTGTGTAAGTGAAAAGATGCAAAGTAGCTCTGATCCACTGGTTCCTCTTGTTCACTCCACCCCACTGGTACTGAGCCAGGACAGATGAGGCAGTCGGTGCCCTTGAACCATTTAAAGATACCCTCCTCCATCGCCTGCACTCCATTCTTGTAGGAAGCCTCGTTTAGGACTGACGAAAGAACCTGAACAAACAAGTGTGTATACATGTATATTTATCAAATATATTTCTCGTAAAGAAGTATTGCGTGTAAAAATGAGTTTGTAAAAAGATAAAAAGGTAAGCCTAACTGACAAATTAAATATTAAATATTAAATATTTTTTTTAAAAAAGATGTATGATCACAGAAACTTACATGCACCTGATGACTACAAGTCACAAATCAAGACGGTGTTGGTGACCATTACGAGTTCATACGATTACCCCAACAAATACCACATATACATATATAAACATCACGTACAATCATGTAAAATTAAAAGATGAAATATGTGGATGATTGTGCCAAAATGTACACCTCTTTAAATGTAAAAGAAATTAGAAACCGTGGTTTACCCAAATTTACACCCGCTTTTAATGTATACATGTAATAGCTACGTTGCAATGTTTTTGTCGGTCTGTGTATATATAAATATTCATTTGTATCATATGTATTTTTGTTATGATTTCCAAGTGTTTTAGCCGCCACCGACTAGCGGTTCTCACCCGAAGAGCAGTAGCTCCTGCGGCGAAAGAAGAGTCCTCTACAATATACTCTATCATCATCAATGAGGGGAAGTAAGAAGCTGGGAAGTGCATGGATCGAGTAAGAGGCACCTTGGTGTAAGCAGGTAAAGATAACTCTTTCTTAAAGGCGTCCTGAAATGAGTTTGGAATAACAATGTCGCACAGTATCTTAGAACAACATACCGTATTTCCTCGGTGTTTTGGTGAACTCCTATACCTTAGTATGTAATTATCAAATGCAAAAAAAAAGTCAAGTCAGCACAATCAAGTACCCTAAGCTTCACTCCGATGCAGACCAGCATGTGTTTTTATCAAGAAGCAGGTCGATTCAAGGTTACCGCGCCAATGGTCAACTCACTATTAGTGGTTCAGTAGATGAACACGTGGCATCGTAATTGAATGACCTCGTGTTACATTTGTCATCTGTACCTCAGATTTCAATCGAATACCGCTGCATTATGGACAAAACAAGCTGGCATGATTGGAAATTTAAAAAAAAAACTCGGAGTAATGATTCCAAAATTAGATCATATTTGCACATGTATATACCTGGCTAACTGAAACCTTTGTGACGTTAGGAGCAGATTGGGGTCTTTCGTCAACTATAGTAAACTTCACGTGGCTAGACGCTGGTCTAATTAGTCTGGAAATGGAATACGACAAATTATGTAAAAGAAAATAAAACGTTATAGGTTTAAAAGGTATCTGAGTTTAAGAGGAATATATTCTTTCGAGCTAACTAGTTTACTAGTTCACTGTAATAGGCCTAACTACTTTCGATTTATAAATATCGGTTCAGCTTTTTTATCAATTTGAAGCTCAAACTGCTTTTGTAATTAATTACTTTGTGTGTTCCGCCAAATCTTTACTCAAATTGAACTGTATTTTATTTTTATTAAAATAAATTAAGAAAGAATTGAAAATTCTGCGCGTTGCTAATGAGTCTCGCCACGACCTTCACACTCTTGATGTCCTTTGTTGTTACTTTATGAGCTCCATGTTACTTGAGATGCAACGGCATTGTACATACAGGAAATCGACACACCTTCGCTCTTTTACATCTCCATCCATGATTCGAAGATGTTTAACAGATGGTTAAATGGGGAAAAAGTCCTTCGGATTTGCAAAGAACTTTTACTGAGTTAAAATTTTGACGTCGACTGGACTATGTCAGCAAGAAAACAGCAAGAAAACAACCAGAGTACTAAAATACATAGGAATTACATCACTGAGCATTGGAATTTTTCCTTGCTCAACAAACAATCAGTCGATGACATTCGGTTTAAATAAGCTTTAGGGCTACCTAGGCAAATAACTCACTGTAACATCACCAAGTCGTTAGAACTATTCCAGGTTACGGGAACCTTTCCGGTATCTAAGACTGATTTGGCCTCTTCATCTGTCAGCGAGTTATATGGAGCGTACAATCCCATTGCAAAGTAGTTGTCAAGCACTGTGTTGTGGATGAAATCTGGGTTAAACAGGTTCCTCAGTGGAGTGAATACATTCCGAACAATGACGTCCTCTTGTTGAACAACCTACAAAAAGTTGTGAAATTTTTAAAAGTTGCATTATCCATCATGCATATGATATTTTTGTAATTTATCCTTTGCTTGAGTAAGAAGTATTGCATTTCAAAATTATAACTTTTTTATCAAATGTCTGGTTAAATATGCTTCGCAGACCCACATCAAATGACCATTTGCATTATACACTATATTAAATGCCTGTCTCACTTTTATTTATGAGATACTTTACACAATCTAGTGTCAAATATATAGTCATGAATATTATCATGCAATGCACATTATATGATCTATATTTTCTTCCCTAACGCTTCCCAGAGATTTAGATCGACCTTACTAGATCGACGTAACTCCTTGGGGGTTCACGCTAAATTGCAGTCAGTCGACCGCGCACGGAAGTTACCCCCTTACAGCTTGTAGTAGGCGGGACGGACATTTAAGCCGGATTATCTGACAGTAATCTAGTGAGACTCCCCACAGGGATAGATCGATCTAAAATCTATGGGAATGCACTCTAAGATAGCAATTTGGCAGGTTACATTACATATGCTGACACTTACCCTACACTGAGATACTCCCATAGTAGCGCTTCAAATACTACATCGATTGTCGAATGTGACAACATCTACACACTTGCTCACCAACGTTGAATTTTGGTTAAAATTGTGGAATAAAATCGACATTTCTACTCATACAGTATTACTTACTCTAAGCTCAATTTCAAACAGTATCCCAAGAAGTCCAAGGTTACATCTTAACGCTTTCATAACAAGCGTGTCTGCGTCTTGGCTGAACTCTTTGACGTTCCCCAATCCATCAACTAGCCGCGCTCTCGTCATGAGGCCGCCCATGGAAGGTGCAGTATGGATAGAATTCTATGACAAGGAATGAAAACGGATCTGAAGCACAATGAAAATCTCAAGCGTTGCGTACCTATCACTACAAAATTATTTTTTCATAAAATGTGCCGCCAGTTTGCTAAACAGGGGCACCATACGTAAGCCATTGTTGCCCACCAACTAAAAGGGCTAGTTGGGCATGGCCATGGACTTCACATGGGTGCCAACTCAGCAGGCAAGTTTACAATATTCAAGTTTACGTGAAAAACCCGTCTTACATGCGATGCCGTAGCAATAGCGCCCCCTATTGTCACGTCATAGACCATGGGTCCATGGGGGAAGGCGTATCCCTGATCCTCCAGTTCGCTTATCAACTCTGCCTGGTTAATTCCAGCCGCAACTGTCACGGAGGTGAAATTTCTGATTGAGCCATCAAGTGCTTCCGTTCCCTGAAGATTATTGTTTCAAAAATTTAATATACGTGTACGTATTTCTTTTTTATTTCTTTGGTACAAGTAAAATCGGAAGACGTTATTATTTGCTATGTGTGGCGGGAGATATCTTCTGTGGCACTTTTGAATAATTGAGATTGCAATGCTCAAAACGTACACTGCAAGAGCATGATTTATTACACTTTTGCACATTTTGATACATTCCTAACTCGATTTTGAGCAACAACTTTTTTATACATACATATATATGCATGTTACTAAGGCACTTTTATGTAGTGCTCACCTCCGGATGGAGAATTATTCTTTTTACCGCCGTCCAGAGCCAGTGCCGATAAATTCAAATTGATGTGCCCAGGGTCTGCCCAGATTGGTTCCGTTGAATGTGCACTTCCCACGGCGCGTACATGTCTCCGGCAATGCAGGGCAGCACGCACCGTTCTTTGTATCTACAGGAAGAATGAATACTCTAAAACTGCCTTATCTTATTAAGAAAATAATTATGTATTTCATGCCACCATTAAAAGCCACGAATACTTGTGGAGGCAAGTTTGCGAGGTCGTTGTTTACCGAGATCCTAATGTTGCGAGTGAAAGAAACTTATTGCAAATGTCGCCCCCAATTAAAATGTTATTTCACAAAAAAATTAATCTCACACGAAAGGTCAGGGTTCAGAAACCACGGTTTATATGACCATCTAAACATTTTGGCAAAATCTAAAAATGCACTTACCTCCTCAGCTGACCTTGGTTTCGCCACTAACACGTGATCATAACTGACCAGTGTCTCCCAGTTGGAAAACGACTCTAGTTGGATAATCGGAGATGAACCAATAAATAGCTGCAGGCATTTCTGTATTACAAGTAACTGAGGCCGCGTGGCTATGTCTAAACGATACAAAGAATTCAAGTAGGCTTGATAGCAGTCGTTTTATTTACAGTGACATTTTGTCATTAGTACAGTCACAATTTATTATAAGGTGGCGGGGATAGCCCCAAGGGATATAGATTTTAAAAACAATAATCATTATGTGTAAATTTGTATTAATTATAATCTTTATCATATTCTGGATTTGAGGCCTGCTAAATTGTTTGGTACATGATCACGAAATCGAGCATCCCGCTTTTCCAGGTCCAGAAAAACACAAATCTACCGGTACATGCGCAGAGTGGAGTGCAAAAGATTGTTCCGAAATACGTGCTCAATATTTACTTGTACAAAACCTAATCCTATTCAGACTATCCAACAAAGCTTGTGCAATAAAAAGGTTCCATGTGATTAGTTTTATGTAGTCATGTTATTATGCTGCAGCAGCACGCCGTCTTCTATAGCGTTGAAGACTGAGAGGTCATCCAGCCGCTATTTGATTTACATATCAAAAGTGCTGTTCGCTTACAGTGGACGGGGCTACAAAAATTATTTGAAAACCCAGAGTTATCTCTTTTAATAGGAGATCTTGGGATGCAAATTCCGAAACAATAGTACATTTGTACAAAATTGGTTGCACAAGAATAGGTGGATTTGGAACTAAAGGCGATAAATCAAATAATAAAGCTAAAGGCACTTTTAGTTGTCCCAAGTTCAAAGTCTGCTGTATTTTGGCCAATGGTATTTTAAATTCTATTCTTAAAAGAGAAATTCAAAGTGGAACGTTTGCATAAAAGACATATCTATTCTTTTTATAACAAAGGTATACCTAAACAAGTGCAAATATTTTAAAATCTAACAAAGGTCGAATAGATATCATTTAGGATCGGCCGTGCTACAGTATGTAAGGCATAATATTTGTGTTTTTAAGACTGAAGTTCACATTCAGGAATATCTGGAGTTCGTCATTAATGAGACTGTGCAAAGAATTACCAAGTTTTGTATTGAAAAACTAAATATAGAAAAGATATATATATATATATATATATATATATATATATATATTAACGTATTTCAAAAATGGAATAAATGTTACCTGTATAATAAGGGTTACCTGTACTTATTGGTTCTCAATCCATATTGCATTTTATATGTTGATTTTGATTCATCAAAAACCGTAAACCAGAAATGACACAGGACAGTAAATAGTGACATATATACCCAAAAAGTGATTGACTAAAATTGCGGGCTATGAAGCTTGCCCCATTTAAGAGATATGTGTGTGTGTGTTTATCATTTTCAAGCTTTCTAACATATAGTAAGGTAATTGAAAAAGTACAATCACGGAGGTGGTTCTAATATTCTAATAGGAAAAACAGGTTAGACTGCTAGTCCATACGCCTTTCACAAAGATTTCTACAAGTAGCAGATATAAAGGACCATTCTGTCAATAGCACATTCAGACCGACCAAATATTAAATAAAAATCTGATTAATATGTTATACTAGCTTCGGGTAAACCATCATATATGCGTATGAGAGAAATTGTTTTGCCAAAGACAAAAAAAACTGAACAACTGAGCTTCTATAAAAAAAAAAGGTGGAGCGTTTGCCGCCAATTAATTTTGTGTTAAAGTGAACAAATATGTCGACCAAAAATTTTATATCTCTTTTGTCAAACCGTCCCAGTAATTTCGGAGAGAGAGGTAATTTTGCCTTGGGTGACAAAGCGGAAAGTTACAGTCACCGCTCAAAACTGCGCCGCTGTTTGACGCAAAATAATAATAATAATAATAATTGTAATAATATCTATTCAGCGTCATTAATCTTATATTTTCAGTAGACTTTGCAAAATTAAACACTGTAAAAAAAAATGAAAATTTTGATTAAGATTAACAAACATTGGTATAGCGTCACAATATCCTACCTGGATTAAACAGCATGCAGACATAAATACAGGGCAGCAGCGGGTGAGGCATATTGAGCCTTTTTTTCGCAGACAGATGCAGTGATGAATGAAGTGCCTTGGTTTCAGAGGATCTCTTATTATATTGTATGCATAACCTGGTGATTTGCCACGATAGTTATTCATTGGTTGGCACTATTGGCAAATGAAATTACCAGCATGTTTTATTTGTGATTCGTCATACATGGCACAACAGTACCAGTACTAGTTGCATTTGAAGATCCTGTGTTAAATTTGTATTGCTTGTTATAGGCAATATTGTCGCTGTATAGAGTTTCACTCGTATCGCTAAATAGTAAAACTCCCCTCACGGCGGTTTCTTGGGAAGTATTAGTCTCGTATGACGTCACGCAGTGCAGACCAGTAACGAAACTTTTGATGTCTTAGCATGTTTAATGCCGAAAACTATGTTATCATAGCATTCCCGGTATTCTTTCAAAATTGGTGAATTTGTTTGTTTTCTGTATATTGCTAGAGCACTTTAGCACACCAGTGGTTGAGTGGGCCTATCTCTTAAATTATCAATTACTGGTCTTGCTTCACTTTCCAAAACGTTACTTTCTGTAAGCCAGCATTTCGTAACAAATGGAATCTGTGTGTGTTTTATTGACCAATGCGCAGATTTGCTACCACCCATCTATTCCATGATACTCCACACTGTGCATATGAGAAATGTAATATTTCTGAAACTGTTTGTTCGGAAAATTGTCGAAGCCACTACGCTAGCACATACAGTCATTTGATACATTTATTCAAATAGCTTACAGTCATTACGTGATATTCCCCTTTTTCGGCTTTTTGTTATAAAACGATTTCATTTTTAATGGACAATACTCCAATTAAGCATCGTGTATTGAGGCAATATCTCATCTTTAGAATGTGGTCGTAAAGCATATATTTTAAGGTTTGATTTTAGATTAAATGTCTCCTAATGCACACCCTCAAAGAGCCAGATTACCCCGATGACACGCTACCAGATGTACATGTATCAATGCCACAAATACAATTTTCACTCGATATCTACAAATATTGCCCGACTTACTCTGTGTATTAATTTGACGTTCTCTCGCAGCTACTCTCTGGCAGAGAGACGCGTCAGATGAGGATAATATCCAGAGCTACTAAAAGTGGTTAAGATTCAAAGGCCTTTACCAGCAAAACCGAATTGGTTTTGCTTGTAAGACTATCTGGTGTTCATTGTTTTATAAATCGTCGCTCTCTATTTTTTAGTTCTGTAAGACTAATTTTTCGAGCAATAAACAGCTAGCCCCAGCTACGAAAATGAATTTGGCGACCATTTAATACATGCTTCAAAGCTATCCCAAACAAAATGCCTACAAGCTTGCTAATTTTTTTCATGAATCAATAGGTTATTTTTAAATCCTCGTCTCCTTTTTGACAACTAAAAAACTGGGCAACTGTGAGTACCAGCATTTTAATAAAACATTTTGTCAAAATTATCGATTCAAAGCATTTGTCGGCTGTACGTTTTCAAATGACAAATACTGCACAGACAGATCGATAAAAACAACCTTACGTTAAAAACTTTGCAAATAATTGAACAGGTTTTTGCAACCACTATAAAAAGGGCACGTCATATTTTTATAAAAACGTTGTCATTATTTGGAAAAACTTGGCTTGTATGATGGCAAATTTGTAGAGAGACGCGGCTTTTGAGAGCAGGGAGAAAGATACAGCTGAAAGCATTTATTCATATAAGTCATTTATTGTAAGATAAACATGTAAACTCTCACTGGATGCCAAACCCAACTGAGTTTGTCTCAAGGATGACTTCTTTTCCAAAATAGCCTTTATAGAGTGGCATGCTGTTAACTGCAAAAAGAAATTTCATTACATCCATTAAAGATACTGGGCCAACTTTGAGTTTTCTAATGAATTATGGTAATCTAGTGCAGCGTTACCATCACTGCGCTTGTTCATCATATATTTATCAACCAAGGTTACAGCCAGCAAAGCTCATCTATTACAGAATATCTGAATGCTATAAACTATAAACAAGGTAAACCAGAGGCATAAAGCCATGTGATCTACGTAACAGAAAGACCCAAGCAAGCTTTAATTTGTAACACTTACTTTATAATAACATCTTTCAGACATAAAAAAGACAGGTGTGTCTTTTTACACTTAACTTTGAAGCATTTCTGAAGCACGTATCTTTTTTGAATCATTAAGAAATTACTTCAAGGAGGCTACTTCGTTATAAAATAGCAGTGCACAAATATTATTTCCTTACATTCATGTACTATGAATGTACAAGCTTCAAATATAAATAACATAAAATATACATTGCCAAGTAACTTCAATATTATCAAAATAACTTGCTGTAGTGTTTCATATCATGGTCTCTTTTCACCACACACAAAAAAAAGATTACTCATAATTCTTCAATGTTTCAATATAATACAGCTCATAAATGAACCAGCTGCACAGATTTACAAATCTTCATTTTTTTTTCTTTACGGGCATAAAGACGGTTTACTCTGGTGCCTTGAGTGACAGTGAAGCCAGGTAGAGTGCAACAAGAATGGAGAGTACAGAGACAAAGTAGCCAGTTCTGTACAGAGTGGGGAGATCAAAACCCTTGCCCAGGTCCCAGGCCTGAAACAGAAAATATGTATCGATCAGAAAAAAAAAAATTGGTTGACTTAATTTCTTAGATTATGATAGCACATACAATTGGGGACACATTATTAGGATATCTTAGACTCAGAAAATTAGTACGAGTTACACCATGATCCAATATGTTTCAGCTAACAACAAAGAGCAAATCTGTTCTATGAAATTTATCTGTCAGAAAGCATACATTTGTATTAGAACTAAAGATACATACATTCATATACCTGAAAGCCCCTGACACTGTTATTATACTACAGCCTACTTACCAGATGTCGAACTCCATTGATGCAGTGATAGCAAAATGGCAAAGCAATGATAAATTTGGCTAGAAATAGAAAGGATGGGCCCACTGCATAACCCTCTATATGGAGGTCCTTAAGGAAGGTGATGTACCACTGATAATCCACTGGGGAAGCCAGCATCACCCAGCTGAAGACATAGGTTGCTAAAAAAAATAATAAGTTGTGTAAGTAATACAGTAAATCTGAATATGTGGAAGTTTTGATTTTATTTTCTTTATGGCAAGTATGCAAATAAGGTATAAAGTTGATCCTTTTACAGAGAAGTGCAAATCCGTTCAGTTCTTACCTGCCAGGAAATGCTACAAAACTTAACATGGTAAGTGTTTGGGTTTGAAAAAGATAAATATCAGCTAAAATATCCCAACTCACCACAAATCATTGCAAATCCAGTGGATCTGTGGAAAAATGAGTGTCATTGGCAGCTGGCTCCTTGAAGGAAGGAAACAATATATACAGATCATACTAAAGTTACAAACAGATTTTCATACCCAAATGACATCATCGAATTTCAGATTTTGTTTATTTCATGACAAAGGAAGATCAAAGAGCAACAAATTTAGTAATGTACACACTGTGAGCATGTGAGTAGGTGCGTGTGGGGTGCGTGTTACAGACAGAGAGAAAGAGAGTGACTCTGCATGAAGTGTTTGAAGCTATTGAGATACTAGTGACATTTTTCTGCTACTGGTTTATGTGTCACTCACCGCCAAATGGCAAGATGTGGAGATATGGGTCTCTTCAGAGTTTCATTTTTCTTCCAGAAATCGAGCATTTCACCTTGGGCCACGTCTTGGATAGTCTTTGGAGGTTTAGTAGTCAGGGCTTTCACAGATGCCATAAATATGGATTTCTTTGTCTCCAAATACAGGAAAAACAATACCAATGTAATTGCTACATCGTTGCATATTACCTCGATCTTCGCAAATATTGTGCACGCTCGATGTGTTTGTATGCGTGTGTGTCGAGGGCTTACCGGAACTAAAAGCAGAAGAACCTTCCATGCTATCAGCTAAATGATGAGCATGTTCGTCTTCTTTCAGCAGCTCTATGAATTTCGTAATAGAATCCGCCTTCTTCCCCAAAAGGAACTGCAGAAACACACGACTTCGTTCCCCCGTTCGTTTGCCGAGGCTGCGGATCTTGTTGTACTCGGCTGATTCTATGACTCTGTATTGAAAGAGAGAATCTAGGAGTTCGTTGAACTCTGTATCGAGAAGAAGGTCCAGGTCTCGAATAATGTCGGTCCATCCGGCGCGCAAATTGTCACAGTAAATTTCTCGCTGTGTCTTTACTGTAATGAAGTAAGCACATAAAAAGCTTGGGATCAAATCAAAGTTAATGAATCGCGATAACAATACATTATAATTATTACTATTATTATAGTGAGAAGTAGCAGTGGTATTGTTGTTAACGTTGTTGTTGCTGTTGTTGTGATCGTGCAATGTAATCCTGATACGTTTGTAATAAATGTAAACAGCTTTGAATTATATTAATTCTTCATTTATTAATGTATCGTATTTTGCGTTTACTTCATTCATTCAAGATCGAATGCTTTTAAAATAATTATACCTTACCTTTTCTGATTGGGTGTTCCAGTAAGCTAAATCGATTGCTGCTACTGCCCGCTTGATCTGCATATGCCCGTTTTGTATATAAGTCCATTTTGTCCTTGATCTTTTTCAGCATCTCCTTCCTCTGCGCCTTCGAGGCCTTGCTCGAACAGCTCTATACATTCTCGAACGGCTTTTTTCGTTGTGGACAGTGTCTCATCTTTCTTCTTAACCCTTGACTGTTCGCGCCTCAGAGAACTTTTTGTAAATAATAGTTTTACTTGTCACAATTATTTTTTACTCAGTATACTCACATAAGTGATAGGTGTGTGGTAGATGCCGAAGGCCACGGAGGGGGGGGGGGGGGGTTACAGATACACGCGCGATTCGTTTTGTTTCTTTACATTTTATCGTTTCAATTCCTTTGATTCAGTATCTTATTATTATTTTATATTTATTCCTTTACTATAATTATATATTTTTGCATGCTGGCTTGTAAAGTGACTGAGAAAAAAAGAAAGAAA